GGGTGTAGTCTACGTATAGCGAACGCTTCTTTAAACAATAGGATAGACCAGTTTCGGGAGCTGTCAATAATGTTAGTACTAGAAAATATTAAACCTATTTATTACTTACATTACAGACGACATTGTCATTTTCAAGTATACCCTGTAACAGGGTATACTTGAAAAGAGCTTTCTTTGTTTTTGTAGGTAGCTTTGATCATTAGAGTAAGAATGCTTTGATCTTTTGTTTAAATCACTGCTATGTCACCTACTAGAGGTAATGTTTTGATTGATTAAACACTTTTGGTACTAGTGCATATAAGCTTGCTAATATGGATAATTTTTTCATTCCTGATGATGACATAATTAATGTCGAAATATTGAATCTCAACACGATGGCGTGTATTTCAATACTTGGAGTATGCATTATACTTTCTTATCAAAGATTATCCTTTACACTAAATAGCCCAACAGCTTATGTGTACAATATTTCCCCACAAACATGACTCGAGGACATTTCTGCCCCACCATGACAAAAAGAAGCAACTGATGTTTGCATTGCTCTGAGTAATTAAGGAATATGGAGCATGTTGATTTTGTCCCCTGCTTCCTTTTCTGGTGGTTTTTACTGTATTTTTATTCTCTTACTTCCTTTTTGTGTTGCTAATTACTTGTTAATGAGTGGGATTTGAACATACTCAAATATATCAACATGTTCCAAATTATTAGTTTTTTGATAGTGACTAAAAAACTCGTTTTGAAAAAATGTCAATTACTTCCTTTTGTCATGGTGAGGCAGATTTACGATGCCTATGACCGCCAGTCATAGGCACCCTTCCAGCAAAAATCAGATCTTGAGTGGCAAAAGTACAATTCAAGCATGCGCTAGGCTTTCAGCTTTGGGGAGCATGGACCTCTCGTCGGGGAATTTCTGGCGACACTCCTACTTCCAGCCCGGATTGAAAGGATCTATAGCACTCATGAATCCCAAGATGACAAAGTCATTTCCATGAGATCTGTTTTAAACAAGCTTTCTTAGCGCATCTAATTTTGTTTTGTTACTTTATGGTGATACCAATGTATACCGACTTCCATGAGGCAATGATAATACAGGGGTGATGCAGTAGTAAAAACAAGCAGATTTAATGAATTTGCAATCAATAGCCTATTTTTCGGGAGAGTTTGTCTGGTTGCAGGAGTGGGGAAGGCCGTCCTGATTTCCTCGAGACCCCTGCAAATTGCTGAAGACTTGAGACTCCCTGAGCGCTTCATGCCAGCCCATACTGCAACATTTTTAATTGCGCGAAGGATATCTGAAAAATAAGCTCATATGTTCGTAGAAAATCGCTAGAAAATTGTGCATGGAATTGTAACTTCTATATAATTGCATTGGTTATATATTAAGATTTGTTAAAAGCCTAAATTTGGGCAAAATCTGCACGGAAATCGGCCCTCATTTTCCAAAATGCGGAGGCTAATTTCTAAGCCAAATGTTTGCTTTGAGGATATATTCCCCACACTGGCCTTACTATATGGTGCATAGAATCGCAATTACTGCATAAAATACATTGTTTTATATGTATTAAGATTAGGTCAAAGTCTAATTTTTGGAAAAATCTGTGTAGAAATTGACCCATATTTTCAGAAATGCATGGACGAATTTCTGGGCTAAATATATTCCCCATGCAGGCCTTACTATACAATCTGGTTTCTATCTAAGAGATAAAGACAGGCAACTGTAAAAAGTACCTTACCCATGGCCACAAGGCAAATACAGCAAAGGTTGGAACTGAACCTCTGACCTTGAAAAGCTGAACAGCAAAATGCACTCCGCCAAAAAAATCAAAATATGGTGGTCCCACAAACGAATAAGCACACAAAACAAAAAGGGCAGGCCACCATAAAACCGCATAAAAAAAAAACAAAAAAATATTAAATAAATTACTCCTCGAGTCCTCCTGATGCTAGGCTTAACTTAGGCCCTGGCCTGGGCTAGGTGGTTGGCCTAGATCAGCCTACTACAATAGCTAGAATTCAGATAGGCCATTGCACTGTCTGTAGCCTAACCTAGCTAGCAGGCACACAATGGACTCCACTAATTCACTGGCTGGCAGTCAGTAGTACTGTACTGCTGTAGGTAGAAAACCTCGGACTGAAAGTGGTGCCGGTGGCTGGTAATGTAAATTGTACGGCGAGCTAGGCCCTGGCCTAAAATAAAGTGCTGCAATGTGCAATGACACCAGAACATGTATGCAATACACAAATTGGGATTCAGAACATTTCAAACTAATTTAACTAGTTATAAGCTAACCTTTCTTTATCAGCCATCGCGCCAATCAAGTGCTATAAAAAATGAGAAAAGTGTGGGTATTGAAGCATAAAATTAAATGAAATCAAATACCGGTAGAGGGCGCAAACTACAAACCTAACTAAGGTACTTGTAACCAAAATGAGGCTATTGTGTTGACAGGTTGTCTATATACACGAAATAAAAGCGCGCCTTCACAGCAATAACAACTCCCTGTGTTCACAAAAACTCGGAAAACTGGCTGTTTTTTTTTGTTTTTTGTTTTTTTGTTGTTTTTTTTTTATGTTTTTGTTTTTATTTTTGTCTTGCTTAGGCCTTTTTCACGAACCGGTAGACATCTTGAAGTGATGACAAACATTGCGAATCAGCGGTGCGTAACCAACAGATATAAGATAAGCTTGATGTGTATAAGAGACAG